CTTCAGAATTAGTGTAGGGTTATGACCCAGTATAGGTAATAAAGAAACTTTTTTTTGTTATTTATTAAAATCACATAATTACATCAAGCAAGTAATAACCTTGGTAGGATTTGGAAAATATTCCTGGTATTGCTTTTAAATACTCAAGCCCACTCAGAGCAGGGGAAGCTTGATGCCAATGTTTCAACAGAGCAGGGAAGTGGTCAGTGAAATGCCTCTGCCAGACTTCATATTCTGTGCATTTGAGGCAGTTGTCTGTATTTCCTTCTCCTTAGAGACTTCTGGTCACTGCAGGAAATTATTTGCCAAAATCTTCTTTTGAGAGCAAGATGAAGAAGTATGGGCTACTGCTTTTGGTTTATCCAGTGATGATCAGCTCCCGGCAGTGTGCTTTCTCTATGCTGTTACAATATGTTTGTTTTGTAGTAGCATGTGAAGCCCCTTTAAATCCATTGTGGTGTTTGAGAGCCGCTGTCCCAAAAACTGTCATATGGGTTGGTCATTGAATCAGCCCTTCCTCTTATCTGTAGCTACAATACACCTAAAACTGAGTGTTAAACCTCTGAATTATTGCTGGCCTTCTGGGTGTGTATGGCAGGTATAATGGCTTTGAGGAGCTGCATGAACAGAATATGCAATTAAACACATTGCTTCAGAGCTTGAGATGTTGTTTTCCTTAGTTTTGCATTGACTCCCCCACATTTAGTCCCTGTTAGTTTTCTCCTGCAAAGCTTTGTGTTCCAGTTACTGTTCTGTAGATTGAGTCTTACGAAAGAAAGCTAATTCAAAGTTGCAGCTGCTTTAAATAGAAGGTGCTAAAAATAAAGTGAAACATCTTTTAAAAGGAGATGGAGAAGGATAGAGAAGGAATTCTGTTACTAGTGTAAACATAATCTCAAAATGCCATAAACTATGCTGCAAGTTTCTTGATAAACTGTGATCAAGTGATCATCAAATCCCTCTTCCAGATCTCAGATGAACCCTGCCAAGTCTGTAATTTTGAGAGCAGCTGTAATCAGTGTCCATTGCAGGTCATAGTCAGTACCCCAGTAAACAGCCTTTTGTTACCAACAAAAATGTCAGGCAAGGTGGCATTGAAAGTGCAGCTAATTTTATGACACGGTCACATCTCCTGTGGCTTTCTATATGAGACCTGTTAATTGTTCTCAGAGGGAATTATGGCTGAAGTGAGCTTCTGTAAAGGTCACCCATGTGTGCTTGCTTCTCTCTGGGTTGTGAATATGTGCTTCTGTTCTTTGGTTTTCCTTAGAGGTACTGAGTGTGGATGGTCTGACCTGTTGTTCTCATGTTCTTCAAAGACAGGTGGTTGGGCCTTTTGAATGTTTTGTGTCATTCCTATTCTCAAACCTAAAGAAAATAACTCAGGTTGTGAGAGAACTGTCTGAATTGATATTGATTTTTTTTACTGGGAAAAAAGTGCTATTTTGCATGTGTTCTTCTTGTTGTTGCCCTCAGTTTCTGAGGTTGGTCAGTAGTTTGAAGACTGGGACTTGTTCGTGGACAATGATGTTACTATTCCTTTCAAAGGAGGTAGCTGGTAAAAAGGCATCTGTGGTCAGGCTGATACACAGTCCAAAGCCAGTATCATTACTTGAACCAAAAGGCATTTATCTGTATACTTGATGATTTGCCAGCTTTCACAGGCATGGTTTCTAGCAAACAGAGCCTTCAAGGATGAAGTTTGTACTTGGCATATTGTCCAGATGATTTGCAGTGGAAGGATACACTTCCAACAGTGACATGAGACTTGGGATGAGGTCTAGGCTTCCCTTTTAAAGGGACAGCTTGATGTCCTGGGCATTCAGAGAACTGAGTAAGTTCTCCTTCTTTAGATTTGGATCAAATTTTCTGTTGTGTGAAAACTGTTCTTAGAAACAAGAGCGTGGGAGCGAGTTGAGAATATTGGCATTCATGAGCTTTTAAAGAACATAAATGCAGTATATGTTGTAGGACTTGTTTAGAGAGACATAGAGGCATTTTTGGCCACTTGAAATACGTTTCAGATGTTTAAGTGTACTAAGCTGGGAATGAAATCAGCCCGTGTACCCTTGGGGATACCTGGTCTCTCTCACCAGAGAAGTTCTGGAGCACCTTCTGTGGAAGGTGCTTGCTCTTTCTCTGGGTCAGCATCTGGGACATTTCTGTCCTGTGTGCTCTCAGTTCCTCTGCATCAATCTGCAAGGAGTGGCACTGAGTCCTGAGCTCAGCCCTGGCGTTCTGCCTGGAAGGAGACGCAGGCAGTCTGCTTTTCTGGTCCGGGCTGTCCCTGCATTCACTTAGGGCAGTGTCAGGGGGACTTGTGGGGCTCCAGCTGTGCCACAGCAGCAGCAGGCTAGGCTTTAGTGCTCCTGTAAGCTGTTTTCTCAGTTGTTCCTGCAAGCAGAAAGGCATTTTAGTTGTTCTCTAACCTTTCACTGTTTCTTATGGTTAAACTAGATGCCTCAGCAGTCTGAAACTCAGTCATATTAGTTCAGATCTGCATGTGAGGTATCATTCGTGATGCCTCTGTGGATTTACTTTTCCTGTTTAAGTACACACACCCCAATTAATTATTTTTAAAATATATAGCTGTGCAGTAGAAAAAATTCTCTTACTTGTCGGAAGTAATGCAAAAGCAATTTCAACAGTAGGGGTTATAAATGAGAATCTAATAAGGAGAATTTTTCCATATCTTTTCAGATGCTTGCCTAAAAACAGTACACAAATACAGAGCATAGAGTGTATCAGTACAAAAATAAACTATATGGAATACATGCTGTGTGTTATAAACCACTTTTTATACCTAACAGCATCGTGACTTTATATGCTACAAGTAAATTTATCTTGGAAGTTGAATGACTTTCTATTTACAGCCTCATTCCGAGGAAGGGACTGTACATGCTCCTGACAGCTGCGTTAGAAAGAAGAGCCTGGGCCTGGAGTGCTCTCCTGATCTGCAGATGTCAGTTGTTTTCCACATGTGAAGTCCTATTACACAAATGTCCTTTAGCTATTGTGTTGGTCTTCCTGTAATTATTTGTTGAGTTGTGTGCAGTGCTTCTTAGGAAAATGTGGATATTACCAACATAGGAGGATGGTGTTTATCAGTTTCAATCAAGCAACTTCTGTAGCAGGTTTTAAGCTAAATTCCAGACTTGTGTGAATTTTCTTTTATTGAAGGGTACAGTGTTGAAGGTGGGAGGAGTGACAGGCACTTTAAACTCAGACACTTCCTGATCATTGCTGATACACAAATACCACTATCCTTCCAAGATTTTTGGTATACACCTGCCATGAGAATCTAATTACTTCTGATAGTGTTTTGTTGTGGTGCTGCCTCTGTGATGTTTTTGTTTTATTTTATGTGATTTTTATTATGCAGTAATTGTATTTCAGTTGAAATATTTGAGTAACTTGAAGACTGTTGTTTTTAGAAATATTCTTGCCGTTAACTTAGAAAAGGGATTGATACCTGTGCTTCCAATGTGATATAAGCATCCTGTTTTAAAACAGATTCTAAAAGGAATTTGAACTTACGTTTGCATTTCTGAAGATCTTTCAGCAAGGCTGTTGCATTTGTCTCTAGGACTGGTGCAGCTCTGCCCATGTGAGGATGAGCAGTTGAGGAAGGGAGTTTCTGAGCTTCAGTATAACGCTGCTGCAGCCACCGGCAGCAGAGAAGCGCGTGCTTCATCCAGTATCCACTTCACAACAAACGTTCAGATGAGGCTTTGGAGAAGTGGAATTGTCTAATTGCACTGTCAGTGTAGTTGCCATGGTGGGGCTGAGCGGGAGGGTCAGGCAGCCTCAGGGCTCTGGGCCTGGAGCGGGGCCACAGTGCCGGGTTTTCAGCGAGAGGGGAGCGTGCTCTGGGCTTGTGGCTGTGAGAGCAGGAGCGGGGCCGCAGTGCCGGTTTTTCAGCGAGAGGGGACCGTGCTCTGGGCTGAGGCTGTGAGAGCAGGAGCGGGGCCGCAGTGCCGGTTTTTCAGCGAGAGGGGACCGTGCTCTGGGCTGAGGCTGTGAGAGCAGGAGCGGGGCCGCAGTGCCGGTTTTTCAGCGAGAGGGGAGCGTGCTCTGGGCTGAGGCTGTGAGAGCAGGAGCGGGGCCGCAGTGCCGGTTTTTCAGCGAGAGGGGAGCGTGCTCTGGGCTGAGGCTGTGAGAGCAGGAGCGGGGCCGCAGTGCCGGGTTTTCAGCGAGAGGGGAGCGTGCTCTGGGCTGAGGCTGTGAGAGCAGGAGCGGGGCCGCAGTGCCGGTTTTTCAGCGAGAGGGGACCGTGCTCTGGGCTTGTGGCTGTGAGAGCAGGAGCGGGGCCGCAGTGCCGGGTTTTCAGCGAGAGGGGAGCGTGCTCTGGGCTTGTGGCTGTGAGAGAGCTGGGGAGAGCAGGGCAGGGCTCCAGCAGCCCTTTGCACCTCGGCAAGGGCAAGGTGGCAGACAGGTGCTCACAAAGGTACTTGATGTTCCATTTCTCATTTCTAGCTGGATCTGTTTGTCAGTTGTAACTTCATGTGTCATAGTTTGAATGTGGCGTATTGAGCTCTGACTTCCAGGTCCCCTTGAAGGAATCATCTGTTTTGAGTACAAAGCAGGGGGTTAAGTAGGATGGAAACACTGGGCACTGTGTGTAGAGGTTGTCTGGAACATACCAAAAATGGGAAAGGTGTCTCTTGGGTTTAGGTATGTTTGGCATTAGGGTGGTGGTTAGCTAAACTACGCAGTGTTGCCAGCAGGACAGGAGATGTCTTATTGTTGACCTTACAGTCTCATCTTTGTAAAGGAGCAGCTTGCTGTAGCCTGAAAATCCATAGGGCTGGAGAATTACTATTTTGTTTTGGATCCTTGTGTCCTTAATGCAAACTCACAGAAACAGTGGGGCCTTTCAAACATTAGTTTAACCTGTCTGGACAGCTAATTCACTTTGTAATGCAGGTTGAATGAAGAGTGTTGGCATTTTTATTACGTACCCATTTTCAATATGTCTGTCTGATTCTTGGATCTCATAGGAATCCGTCAACTGCATTCTACCAAGCGTTCCATTTCAACAAGTTACCCGAGTCAAAGACCACCGGGGATAGGTATGGATGCTTGAGTATGGAATGCATACATGCTGAGGTATGCATGAACTGCTTTGCTCTGTGCAAGTTTCTCATTGTTGTTGTTTGCACACAACTGCTGCCTGTGTTCACAGCTCCATATTGGGCTTCTGCAGTTTGAAGAGGTGAAAGCGGTCATAGAAGTGAAGTGTTTGTTCTGAAACATGGAACTAAACTCCAAAATATGACATGACTTTTTTTTCTTCTTCCTTCCATTATGCATGTATCATACATGATGTGTAAGCTCAGAGTTTAATGCTAGTCAGCTCCTAGGCAACCTTTGCCTAAATATTCAGTTTCCTTTTCCAAAAGAGGAAACGTTTTGGCATTGAGTCCTATGTCAGAAAACACATCGTGAAAATACTACGTTTAAACACAGTTTTGGCAAAGTTAAGATATATATATATATATATATATCTTTAAACCAGGAAAAAAAGCTTTCTGGCTTACTTTCATTCTGCTCAAGTAAAGCTGGATGGGGAACATAGGTGAACTGTGACAAGGACAAAGTGAATCTCCAAGGTTAGCATTGAACTCGTGGTGAGAAACTGCAGTGAAGTGCAACAAAGTCTTATCTGGCATGGATAGGACTTGAGAGAGGTGCATTACTAATTCATCAGTAGCTGCAAACTGTTTCTCTCCTGTGCTTTAATGATTTTGAGGGATTTTTTTTTTTGTCAGCATTAAGTCAAAGTCCTAGTGATGGTGTGATTTAATGCCTTGTGCTGCTCTGGCTTGTCAAAACTTCTGCTTAACAAGCTGTGTAGAATGTAAATTTTGTTTGGCTGTTGAAGTATTGATAACCATTTCGTCACTGTCCTGGCTGTATTTGACTTGAAAGGCTTCTCAACTTGCACAGCTCAACTGAATCCTTTAAAGTTTGCTTGGCAACAGTTTGTATACTGCACAATGATGAAGGTTATAAGTAATGCTTAGTGTTCTGCTCTTTTTAAAAAAATTATTTTGTATTGCTGGGGTGCTGGCATTAAGCTCGGTTTCAAAGCACATCTTCCTTTTTCAGCAGTAAGTTGGACGAATTTATGTTTTTGCTTCAAGCTCTGGATGATGCCACTTCCCTGTATTTATGGAACAGAGTTGGTATTTAGGTTTCAAGGACTTTGTTATTTCACTGGAACGAACTTCAGGGCTTAGAATACACATTTGGTTTGTAGACCAAAAGGTCACTTTGTGGTCTTGCCTTCAGCTGTTTTTCTATTTTCATGCCTCAAAATAAGTCTTAAGATGAGGAAGCTAATTCAAAAACCCCTAAAATCAAATAATGAATTATTAAGATGGAGGATTCACAAATCTGACGTTTATGAACAATGCCTGAAGCAAATGCTGGAAATGCAGGATATAAAACATTAAATTCAGATAGAAGAATGTAAATGGTTACCTTTAAAATAACCTTGCATCTTTGCCGGTGAACTCTTTGTGGTAGAAACAAGCATTTGTGAGAAAATAGAATGCGATTCATCAGGATTGATACGTGTTTTAAACTTATAATCCATTCAAATTCCAAAGTCTTGGATGGGATTTGGCAGGTTTTGCATTTATACCCCAGTTACTGGATTTTAAGGTCACATTAGGCAGCTTTGCTTCGCTGGATGACTGAAACTGAGAGGCTGTCAGCTATAAACTTGCAGTAAAAGCTGGTATTGGGACCCTTGCAGGATGGAGCTGGGCAGGACACAGTAGGGGCTCTAACAAGAACATGGCCTGGGGCTTCTTTTTGGCATCGCTGGTTTGGGAAAGAAAAACCAGAGATGCTGCTGTGAAAACAAGAAACTTGTGTGACTTGTCCCTTTGTTTGCCCATCACAAAATGTGGGGGTTGACACACTGCAGAGCACCAGGACCATGAGGCTGCTGGCAGTGAGCTCTTAATTACATTTTGCAGTTCTTTCAGAAGTACTTTGTGAACCTGAGGGGCTTGACTTAGGAGACTTCAGGGTAAACAGAAAATCTTTCTGTGTAATTCTAGTATTTTTTTCTAACAAATATGGATTATTCCCCTATGTGTAACTGTCTCCAGGCACCTGCTGAAATCAGCATAGGTAGACACATGATACTGCAGTAGAGACAAAGAGATTGCTGAATTGCTCCAGTGAATAGAAACTATTTTATTTTTCACCAACACGCTGTGGCAGGAAGAGTGCTGGTGGCACTCAGACCAGTAAGTGTTGGGGAGATGCTGTTGTTACTGACACATTGGCAGGGATGTTTCCATGCACAGGTGGAAACATAGGTGTTGCTGGAGGCACAAGTCTCATGTGTTGGTTTTTGCAGCTGATGTGATTTAAGAAGGGGAATAGTGGCTTCTTGGCATGTCCACGTGAGTCTGGGTGGTTGCTCTTCTGGGCCTGGGTTGTCTTTGCACAGTAAAGGTGCACAGCTTTAGGTGGGTCTGCCTAAAGCACAGACATTATTGGGAATCTTGAATTTAAAGTAGTAGGATTTATGTTTCCATTGCATTTATGTGTGAAGCATTAAGCCTTCACAATATAAATTAACTCAAAGTGTGTGTGGGAACTCCTGAGGCAGTGAGTGCACTGCCTCAGGTTGTTGCATATTCTCATATGGCTTTGACAAAGAACAATAATGGAAGTCTGCAATAGTCACACAGATCCTCTTTCCAGGCTGGATAGGTGATTGGACTGCTTGGGATGCTATCATTATAAAATCTCTTTATGGGATGGAGGCTAATTAAATAGACATTAACTCTTTCAAGAATAGAAAAGATTTCTCTGGGTAGACTGAATAGCTCAACCAGTGCTAAGACAGTAGCTCATAAATGAGTAAACAATGCGGCCTGCCCAGTGTGGCAGCACTGCCTGGGCACCTGCCAGCCCAGGCACATGGCAGTTGGTGGCTGTTATCAGGTGTTCCAGGCACAGCAGTGAGGTGATAAGGAGCAGTGTGGCAGCAGGGAGAGCAAAGAGTGGCCATGAGAGCAATGGGCTCTGAGAGACTCGGGCAAGCAGGCCCATGGCAAGCACAGGAGCTTCCAGGCAATAGCTGCACAGAAGGAACAGCAATCCATTCAGTCTAGAACATCCCATCAAACCTGTCCTTACCTCAAACCCTTCCAGGCCCGTGCTGGGTGCCAAAAAGGGCTGTTTTGGTTTAATCCTGCTGGCACTAAGCCCCGTGCAGCAACTCGCTCAGCTCCCCCTTCTCCCACAATGGGAAAAGTGAGAGAACGTGTCAGCTGAGATAAAGACAATTTAATAGGTAAAGCAAAAGCCGCTGAGATTTTTTTTAAACCATCAAAATGAGGATTTCTCTGACAAAGTGGGGTTTTGTCTACCTGGTGTTTAAGGTAGGAAAAGACTGGCATTACTGTCCATCTCTGGGAATGACAGACTGTGCTTGGGGCACCTTTGATGTTATTGCTGACTGTAAATCTTGCCACGTACCTTGTGGGCTGCAGTGTGAACTTGGTGTAACAATAGAGCATCCTTTTGGGTAGAGCCTCTATGGACATGGCCCTAACTGCGAGGTCCAAGTCAAAATGAAGTGTGCCATGTTCAGTGTATCTGATACTTTGTGGGCTGCAGAAGCTCAGTATGGGATGGGGGTTTTCCTGTTTAAAAACAAGTATTACATGCCTAATGCACCCCTTAATCTGCCCTGTGGTACTTGATGGGGAGTTTTTTGCAGTTTTGACAATAGTTGTCAGACTTCTGTAGCTCTTGGAGCAATCAGCAATTGGTCTTTTTTTACAAGAGCTAAATGGTGTCTTTCCTCTTCTGATTCCAGGATTTGCAAGTTGAGGCATTGGCTCTGCAGTAGATGGTGCACTCACAGAATGTGTCAGACTCTCTCTCCACTCAGTCATCCAAAAAGACTTGTTTAAGGGGTATTTTGGGTTTCTTCCTGGCCTTTTCATAAGGACTGGATTGTATTTATAAATGCCATTCTGCAGACATGGGATAAAAATATTTTTATGCAAACTGGAATTTGATGTCAAGAGTTTAGGATTTGAGAAAAATATACACAATTTTAAGATTTGGCAGCGTGTTTGGAGTTTCCCATGAGAGCAGCTGTCACTGGAGGGCTCTGCTCATGAATGTCCCATAGGAGCTGCTTGGTATTGGGAGACTGTCAGATGAACACAATCCTGTGGGATTGTGCTACCATAACATCTAATTCTCATCTGCTTTGAGAAAGTGACATGAAGTGTAGGCAGCTGTTTTTATCCTGATGGCAAACTGGGGCACCCGGTGTCGCGTGGAGCTTCTCCTGGGTGGGTGAGGAGGGGTCTGCCTGGTGCCAGCCTCTGCCCGCTGGAGTTGGGACTGAGGACGTGTGCAGGGAGCAGGGCTGCAATCCAGGCTCAGCTGCTCTGGGATGAGGGCAGCAGGAACATGACGGAGTAGTGTATAAAGCCGCTTAGAGCTTTCAGCACGGTTGGTGTGTGGGTGTGTATGGTAAAGCAGTGGTTTCCCTGGCTCTTTGCAGTCACACTGCAGGGAGGGACAGCTCCTACACCCACCCAGCAGGCAGAGAGCAGCTCGGAGCACAAGGTACACAGGCAAAGGTGCCTCTGCAGTGTGCCATGCAGGTACAGCTCTTTGGGCTGAGGGAGGGCTGCCTGTCTCTCTCATGAAAGCGACTGCTTGAATGCCTTTACTTAGAGTCATGTAGTGGGGTTTGTTGTTTTAAATAATCACACTACAAAGTAGCTGAAACAGGGATAGAAGAACAAAGTTCCAATCTCAAGTTTGACTAGATGGCTCTTGATAAAAGTTGTACGATTATGGTGCAGAGATGGGGAAGGAGATCCCACTGCCAAGTGTGCAGTTTGCTTTAATTGTCCTCGTCTTGTTGTTACCTCTTCAGAGCTGCCTCATCTGATCTGTAGAGTGGTGTCCATGAAGGACTGTGATTTTGTGGTTCATGAACACAGGTACTTCTGACAGTGTCAGATGAGTCTGATATATGTCAACTCAGCATAAAAAGGCATGCATCCCTTGGCATGAGTTATAAATAGCTTTTATTCTGAGGAGGTTTACCATAGATAGGGTTTGGAAGAGGCTTAGAAGACAGTAAGAGATTGGAACAATTTTCTTCTGAAATGGATATTCAGTGCTTTTGGTTTGGGTTTCAAGATTGGTTCGGTAGAAATAGAGGCTGTGACTTCCCCAGTCTGCAAACCCGATGTCCTCTGCTTGTAAAAGCCCAGTTCTAGTGCTGATGGTTCTGTGGGAGCCCTTAAAATTAACTTCTCTGGCCAGTTTCACTTTTCAGGAGCTGGGCTGTGTTTCACATCTGTGATTAGTACTGCTGAGCACATTGCCATACTCTTTGTAAAAAGCCTTGAGTGATTTTTTTTTCTTAACACTTGGTTTTGGTGAGAGGCGAGTTTTCCAGCATGACTGCAACCCTTGCCTTTTTGCTGTGTTAACTCTACTGAAGGTGGCTGCGCACTGCTGATAGCCATGTGCGTGGCTGGGAGTGTTATCAGCAGCTCCAGTGGTGGGGCTGTCACAGCCCAGGAGCTCCTGTGTGTGTCACACCGGGGCTGGGTGGGAAATGGGACCCTGAGACCCGGCTGGGAGGCTGATGCGGAGGGTGCTGCAGCCCTGCGTGCCCTGGGGAGAGCCACAGCTCCTCTCTGAAGGGAGAAACCAGAGTCTGTGGGGGAGCAGGGCACCCCCGGCCTGCTGAAACCCAGCTCCAGAGCTGCCAGGGAGGCTTGGCCTCTGTGCCTCTGGTGTGACTTGGAAACAGACCCTGGCTGTTGAGGGCTGCATTTCTGTCACACAGGAGGCAGAGATCCCCGTTCGGGATCCTCACAGCGCACTGAGGTGTGCTGGCAGATGCCCTGCACCAGTGTGTCTGTGGAACACACCTGGCCCTGGCTGTGACCCACGGCCGTGTGTTTGTCAGCTGTCAGAAAGGAGCCAAGCAGAACTCACTGCAGGCTCAGGGCTCTGGGCCTGCCTTGCCCTCCTGCCGGCTGCTGCCACAGACTGCAGGGGCAGCGCTGTGCCAGGAGCTCCTTACCTGGAAGGTGGACTCTAGTGAGACCAGAGAACAGATACTGAAACAGGATGTTTTCTTCATTGCTTTATAAAAACAGTTGGGAAGAAATAATGCTAGTGGTAAGAATCTGATGAATATCCCATGAATTTTTGTTTCCCTCAGTGAAGAAAGCTGGTAAATGAGGCCAGGAATTAAAGCAGTTGATGTAGTGTTTATTCTAATGCATTTTTATGGTTATGGGTGTCATAAGCCCAGTGTGACAAGATATAAACTGAAGGAGCGGTGTTTCTTGTGAGTCACAACTGTGCTGGGCAACTGGATGGAGGGGTGGGAGGGACATGGGACACCCCCCTGTGAGTGTGTATTGGATTCTTGACTCTAATCTTCAGCCTTCCAGTGACAGCATGATCCAGGAGCCCTGCGGGTGCACAGTTTTACCCGAGTGATACAATAACACTCACGGAGTTTTCTCATTGTATTTACAGTGCCTCTGGTGCAAGTGTTGTTGCCATTGACAACAAAATAGAACAGGCAATGGTAAGTAAAATATAAGTTGTTATTTCTAATAGGATTAATGTGGCTCATCACTGAACATAAGTTTCCTGCTTTATTGTGTTTCTGTGAGGCTGTGGTATCCCTCCAGGTGGGTAAGACTGAGAGCATCAATAAAGGATTTTCTGTATCATCTGTGAATGACCACAAACCATTATTGCTTTTACTGTTGGCCTAGAAATGTTTTTCAGTTAATTTTCTTACAAATTGCTGTGAACAAGGTGATTGAACTTGAAGGAGTGCTGAAAATAGAGTGCATATTACTCTAGCCAAGTTCATTACTAGTTTTTCTGAAGGGTCATCCTTAACACACTGCTCAGCTTCAGTTAGAGCTATTGGATTTTTGCTTGTGATGGCGTAAAAGCTTTCTTGTTGATCTGGTTCTCACACGCCTCAGTGGCTGGGCCTGCGTGCCACAGACCCGTACCCCGGGTGACAGCATCAGAGCAGGTGCTTTCCTTCTGAGGAGCTGGGGCATCGCTCTTCTCCTTGGCTTCCGCAGAACTGAAGTGACTGGAGTGCTGGAGACAAAGCTTTTCGTATCAGGCCCACTTCACATAAGGGCTGGGTTGTTTGTGCTCAAAGGCTGATTTATTCATAAATGTTTGGTGATGAGTGTTTTTTTTTCCCAGGCTTACTGCAGTGAAAGCAGTAACAGTAAGTTCTGGGGCTGGGGTGAAGGAAACTCGTTCTTCCCCGTGGTGTAACCGTCCACTTGTTCTTTGCAGGATCTAGTGAAAAGCCATTTGATGTATGCAGTGAGAGAAGAAGTGGAAGTTCTGAAGGAACAAATAAAAGAATTAGTTGAAAGGAACTCTTTACTTGAACGAGAAAACGCACTGTTGAAATCCCTGTCCAACAACGATCAGTTGTCGCAGCTGTCGAGCCAGCAGGCCGCCCCCGGCAGCGCGTCGCAGGCGCAGCCCGCGCAGCCGCCGCAGCCCAACGTGTCCTCGGCGTGAGCCGCCCGTCCGCCCGCGCCGGCCGCCGAGCGCAGCCTGCTTCCCCTGTGTGTTTGGCCTTTTCAGTATTAGACAATCACCGCGCCCCGGCCGCGCACGGAGCCGCGCCGGCCCGGCTGCGCGCCGAGCTCTGCCGCGGCCCCGCGGCCCGCCGAGGGCCCCAGCGCTCCCGGGCTGCTGGAGCCTTGCTGGCCGGTGAGGAGCAGCAGTTCCTCTTCAGAGCCACTGTTCTTTTCATATAAGTAACATTTGCCTATGTTAGTTTCATTTATTTGTTTTATTTATTACAGGGCTGCTATTTTCATAATGTACATGAACAATGTCACAGAACTTTTGGATTTTTTTTTTTAATAAACTTCTGTATGGGTAAAATGATAGATGGGATTGCGTTAATAGATACAATGTCTAGGCAATAATTGAACAAAGAATCCTGGCGTATTTCTAACACTAATGGCAATTGACCTTTGGTATTTATTTACGGTAGTAAAGATCCAGCTTGAATGTAAATTTTGTATAGAGTGTAAGTATGAAGACCATAGTGCATCTGTACAGGTAGTCACCAGTCCTTGTGATATAATAAATAAGTGATGGGCTATTTTGATGAAGAAAACTTTGCTCATTTCTGTTTCTACTTTTTAATAGAGAGAAGGGGGCCATGATTCCTCTGCTTTTTGACATTTCGTTTTTGGTTTGGTTTTTTGGGTGGGAATAAAAAGCTGTGAAATTGTTCAACCTACTTTGTAACCAAAGAAGCAAAGCTGTATAATTGAGTTGGTTGTTGGTTTTTTGTTTTGTTGTTTTGGGTTTTTTTTTTTTTATTTTATAATGCACATTCTTTATGTATTTTTTATTTAGTGTTTTCTCATTCACAATTTTCTTTGCTGTCTCGCATGATCTGCATGACCTGTAATCTTTGAACCACTTCCGTACCTCATGTTTTTATCCAGCACTCTTAGTGTAATATGTACTAGTCTGTGAACAATGTCAATAAAGAGAAAGAACAGCTGGTGTTGGTGGAGCTAAGCTAGTGTGCTAGGCACTAGTTGTTAAAACAAATAAATGAAGTGAGCCATCTTTTGTTCATTTAAAATGGTGTTTTGAATTTCGTATGCAGAAAACGTTTTGTTACATTGCAGATTTAATGTATTTAATAAATGCAACATGCAGATTAAATGCAGTGTATACTGAGTATTTAAATTAAAAATGTACATTTCATAAATACAGTTTCCAAAAAGACCATCATTTGTGTAAACTAATGCAGTGTGTCAAATCGATGTACAAATATATATATATATTTTAACACATTTTCTGAAATTAAACCAGTTTTGTTGAATTTTTTGGCTGTAGATGTTGTTGCAGTGTAATTAAAATCAGTAGCTCTTTTCTGAACAAAATGGAGAAATGTAGTGTCAGTGAGGCAGTAACAGACCAATGCCAGGGTTACCACTTTTCATGCAGCAGACTGGTTTCTTCTCTTCTAGGAGAAGCATCTTCTGATGCTGTCAGTGGCTGCCTTAGGGGTTTGGGTTTGCACTGGTAGCTCTGAATAAACATCTGGGCCTGCTTAGTCACTGCTATGAATGTCTGCTTCAGTACTGGAGCCCTGAGCAGCTCTAACTCTGCTCGGTTTATGTCTAAGGAAGAACAGAGGAAACATTGGAAACTGCGAGTTTTGGTGTCTTCAGATCTCAAAGACGTGTCCATGTCCTGGAAACAGAGAAGCATCTCCGCCTGGTAAGCATCAGTTCAGCACAGTTCAAACAAAGCCTGCGTTGTGTGCTTATTGAAAAGTTCTTGCTAAAGTAACGCCAAAATGATCTTTCCATTAGCTGTGGATTGGTATTTTCTGCCTGCTGCACCCCTGTGCTGTGAGCACTGCTGGGAGACTTTAGTGCCACAGATTAGAAAGCAAAATATTCCAGTAGCTATGTGCGTTTCCTCTGCAGTGTGATCAGTGGTTCGCTCCAGCTGTGCAATGAGGATGATGCTGGTAAAGTAAGAAAAAGGGACAGATTGGGGATTTCTGGGAACAAGAGTCCCTCAGGTGAGTAGTTGATTCAAACTTCTTGGAGGATGCTCTGTACCTGTCAGTTCACTTTTGAGTGAAACAGAGCAGAGACACCTTTCTGAAGCTGCCCCAGGTGGTGATTGTGTTCCTGCTGGGAGCCGAGGGAGCAGCCCTGCTCCCCTGGGAGGGAATGCCTGTTCCTCTGTGTGTGTGAGAGCTGCGATGGGTGCGTCCTGCACACCGCGGCGCTGCAGAGGCGCTTTCTCCAAAAGCAAGAAGCATTTAGTAAATCTGAAAAAGGAGATGAAACAAAGATTGAACTGATGCTGTTGGAAAGCCTTTGCTTTGCTCCTGTCAGGTTTGCTTTGGGGGTTTGTGTTTAGTTTTCGCATCGAGATAAGCTGTATTCGGCTGTGGACAGCGGCTCGGCTTGTGAGAGCCCTGTGAACTGTAGGAAAGGGTCAGAGAATGCTGCGGGCTCTTGTCGAGAGGCTGCCTGAGGAAAAGGAGCAGCAGTTGTCCCAGGGACACCGCCGCGGTGTCAGCAGGTGTGCGGCTGCCGGTGGCAGGGAGCCCCGGTGGCGCCGGGCCCGGCTCGGTGCCGCCCGCGCTGCTGGGGCCCGGCCTTGGCCCGGCGCGCTGGGGCCGGCCCGGGGCCGAGCGGGCTGCGGGAGCCGGCTCTCCGCGCCGGGTGCGGGTGCTCTAACACGTGTTTTCGACATTGTTCCATAGCTTCGGTATAAAGGATTCAGCTGCTGCGTTCGCGGCAGCGTGTGCTTTGGCACGGGTGGGGAGCGGGCTGCAGCCGCGGTGTCACAGAACGCTCTGAATGCACTGACGCTGGGCAGAGGAGGCTCCGAGTTAGGCCCGGCGTCTCAGACCGGACGTGACAGAAGATGAGGGGAAAAGCTACGGAAACAGTGGAGGATGACGGAGGAAATGCTTTCTGAGGAGAGCTTCAAGGCCGCGGCCCTGGCTCAGAGGGGAGCGCTTGCAGGAGGAGGCTGGAACAGCAGTGAGGCGGCTCTGGAGCAGGTTCCGGGCGAGGTGAGCACAGGGCGGCACAGACCCTTGCCGGGCTGCGGCACAGACCCTTCCCTTCTCCCGAGCCTTCTCCCGAGCCTTCCCCGGCTGCGGCGGGCGGGTCCGCCCATGGCGCAGCGGGACCTCTGGGGGCCGCGAGGCGGCGCTGTGGAGCGGGGCGGGGCTGTCCCCACACCGCCCCCGCCCGGTCCTGTTCCCATTCCCGTTCTCGTTCCCATTCCCGGGCCCGGTCCTGTTCTCGGTCCCGTTCCCGTTCCCGTTCCAGGATCCGCTGCCTCGGCCCGGTTCCCCGTCGCTCGGGCCCTCGCGCCGTCACTGCCAGCGACGCTGCCGCCGCCTGTCCCGGGCTCCCGCCTCGGCGCAGGGGTTGTCCCCGCTCCACGAGGCTGTTCCTGGAGAACGCGGCTCCTGTCGCTGCCGGGTCCCCTCCGAGCTGCGTGTGCGCAGATGGGCGGGACACGGCGCCGGGGACGTGGCTGCGGCGCTTTGTGCGGTGCCAGCAGCTGCGACAGGCCTGGCAGGACGGCAGGGAGCTGTCAGGGCCTTGGGAAGCAAACCGTGTGCCCCTCCTGATGCGCTGCTGAAGCGCAGTCCTGCAACCAGCCTTGAGAAGGCTGCACAGGTGAAAAGAAAAGGCAATAATTGAGAGACAAGCGTGTTGCAGGTGGTTGGTGACGTCAGCTGAGCAGGCTCAGCTCCGCGGAGGAGCCCGAGCAGCCGCGGCTCAGCCAGCGCCTCAGAGCGCCTCAGCTCTCAGGGCCTGGCAACGGCAAACTGCATCTGCCGAGGGGAAACAGACGGGTATTGCTCTGATGGGTTTCGGAAAGAAACAAGTGTGGCGTTCTGCAGCATTTGTTCCTGGATGTATGCAGCCAGAGCACAGCTGGGGCCAGAAGGGCCCTCCAGAGATGCCCCCAGCCCCAGCTCTGGCACTGCAGCTGCCCACGACCCTCGCAATGCGGGCACAGCGCTGCACACACCCCTGCCCAGCTCGCACCAGAGCAAGAATTCACTGAACTTCCAAGAACCAACTGGTACAACCGCCCTGAAGGCTCCCACAGCCCAGGAGCAGCTGCGGCGCTGGCACAGCCGGACCCGGGGCCGCCTGCCATCCCTGGGAGCAGAGGGGCAGGGGGTGCCAGGGGGGCGCCTGCCGAGCCCCTGGGGATGGCCGGGCCCGAGGGAAGGGCAGCGGCAGCCGGGCGTACCCAGAGCGCCGGCAGCCCCGGCTCAGGCTCCTGGGGCCAGCCTGGCCCATGGCACAGAGGCTCCTCCCAGGGAAGAGCCAGTCAATCCCTGCTCGGTGTGAATGGTCGAGCCTCGACAGCCAGCAGAGCCCTGCCTTGCCCACAGCAGAGTGAACACAGCTTGCGTTTGAAAAGAACTTTATTTAAAATCAGCGATGATACAGACTGCCCCCGCTGTCACAGCACAAGGTGTCCCAGCACAAGGTCCCCGTGCCCTGGGCAGCCCCGGCTCACAGCAGTCCCAGTGATTCCATATGGAAATACAACGCGTACAGATCTGCTCCTTCACGGCTAACAGGCAATTCAGTAACCTCAACCCATTTTGTTTTCTATGATTTCTAGTGTAACCAGACTTAAAATTTGTCTTCTAAGAAATCTGGAGAAATCTTCCTTTAGCAACAGCGTGCACCAGCTGAGCAATTCCCACCACCTTTGTCACCGCGCAGACAGCAGAGCCAGCAGGAGTCAGGGCCATCAGCAGGGAAATATGATCAATAGCAGCATTTTCCACGTGATCTCAAGGTACAGTCGTCTACAGAAGAAGGAACTGTGATCACCAGTAGGGAAGCAGTTAATTACTGAATCCATTGTTAAAAGAAATTGAGTTGAAGGCGGGTTTTACCTTAAATAGGATTAAATATATATTGCAAGACACACCACACTCTGCAGGAGCTGCACATACAGAAGCAGAACTGTGGGCA